CTCTCTCTCTCTCTCTCTCTCTCTCTCTCTCTCTCTCTCTCTCTCTCTCTCTCTCTCTCTCTCTCTCTCTCATCATAACCTTCTCGGAATGTAATTCGAGTATGTCATTCAAAAAACACTCTCTCCCCTGGAATCTATTGCGAGCAAGACCTTTTCGGAATGTATTGCGAGCAAAACCTTCTCTCTCTCTCTCATAATAACCTTCTCGGAATGTATTGCGAGCAAGACCTTTTCGAGTATGTCATTCAAAAAAACTCTCTCCCCCGGAACTCTCTCTCTCTCTCTCTCTCTCTCTCTCTCTCTCTCTCTCTCTCTCTCTCTCTCTCTCTGATCATAACCTTCTCGGACTTTAATGTGAGCATGACCTTTTTCGACTATGTCATTCAAAAAAAGCTTTCTTCCCTCGGAATGTATTGCGAGCAAGACCTTTTCGGAATGTATTGCGAGCAAGACCTTCTCTTTCTCTCCCTTCATAACCTTCTCGGAATATATTGCGAGCAAAACCTTTTCGAGCATGACCTTTTCGGAATGTAATGTGAGCATGACCTTTTCGGAATGTAATGTGAGCATGACCTTTTTCGAGTATGTCATTAAAAAAAAACTCTCTCCCCCGGAATGTATTGCGAACATAACCTTTTCGGAATGTATTGCGAGCAAGACCTTCTCTCTCTCTCCCATAATAACCTTCTCCGAATGTATTGCGAGCAAGACCTTTTCGAGTATGTCATTCAAAAAAACTCTCTCCCCGGGAACTCTCTCTCTCTCTCTCTCTCTCTCTCATCATAACCTTCTCGGAATGTAATGTGAGCATGACCTTTTTCGAGTATGTAATTCAAAAAAAGCTCTCTCCCCCGGAATGTATTGCGAGCAAGACCTTTTCGGAATATATTGCAAGCAAGGCCTTCTCTCTCTCTCCCTTCATAACCTTCTCGGAATGTACTGAGAGCAAGACCTTTTCGAGCATGACCTTTTCGGAATGTAATGTAAGCATGAACTTTTTTGAGTAAGACCTTTTCGGAATGTAATGTGAGCATGACCTTTTTCGAGTATGTCATTTAAAAAAAGCTCTCTCCCCCGGAATGTATTGCGAGCAAGACCTTTTTGGAATGTATTGTGAGCAAGACCTTCTCTCTTTCTCCCATAATAACCTTCTCGGAATGTATTGCGAGCAAGACCTTTTCGAGTATGTCATTCAAAAAAAATTCTC